CAAGAAATAAGATGGCTTCTGACACGTGGACACAAAATTAAGTATTCTTGGTCTCAACTCTCAGAGAGCAAAGTAAAAGTACATAATTCAACACTAGAAAATGATTCTTTCAAGTCCAGCAAATTTAAAATGTCTGAGAGTGACTATAATAAACCAAAATTGATTTCATGTGGAGAATTCTTATTACAGTCCATTTAACACTTTTTGTTTTCCCTTTGCTAACATCACTTTGAAATTATGGGGTTCATATCTGGACATCTAGAAAGATGCATAAGCATCATAATTGACAGAACATCATACTGATGAGATTTACAGACTGTACTCCACAATTTACTGCATGCACAGAATTAAAGGACACTTACTGTCTGCTGCCAGCCATCCAATGTTATTTTCAATGCTCTTCAGCTCCCTCATACTGGGTCCTGTAGCTCCTGAAGGGTAAAACTTTCAGATCGCACCTCGTATATCTATACATATGCCGTGGTCATGTATCGGTGTGTCCCAAATAACAAAATTTTAGCATCCCTATACTCAGAAGAGTTCTTAGAAAGAGACGGTTATAACTGCTAAGTATGATGCATATATGTGGCCTTCAGTTCAATGTCAGATGATAATCTGCAGTGCCGACATTTTCTGACTCGTACTTATGACACAGGGAAGAATGCTAGAGCCTCAAATACATTGCGTAGTGTGCTGGAAACGCTAGAAAACGATAGAATCTATTTATTGGTGTAGTGTTGTGTTTTGATGACGTTTCAAGAACTGTCATACGAAACTCAACGTCTAATCGACTGCTTCCATTGCTCACACACAGGATGTTCATATTATAATGTGAGATTATAAAACCATCTTTTAACAGGGTTTCAGTGAACAATTGATAATTATATGTTATATAGTTCAAACGTTATGATAAATAAAGTGTTTTAGAGCAAAATTTAAATGGCCATTCAGACGCAATTACCGCTGCTCGCCAAGCACTGCGGAATTTAAATACCCGAGCGAAAGTCAGAAGTTTCATCCAATATTAGTGACACTGAGTGTTATCAGGTTAAGCTGTGTGCAACTTTGGTCAGTTAAAGCCTGCAACAGATGTGAAAATTCATATCTCTTTTAGTTGTTGAACTAATCTTGTTTCGTTCTGAGGAAATTTTGTCTGTTTAACCTGCAGTAAATGTTGTCAAGTAAATTAGATTTGGAACTTCATCATTTTATCATTGTGGCAAAGAGTTGAAAATGATTGTCTCCTTTAATTGCAGACTTGTTTGTTAGGTAAGTTGTAAAAAAATTTGTTAATGTTGATTTGTGTAATAAATATTTTGGCAGTGAGCAACCTAAAGAAAAACCTGGAGGGAGACACATCTGTGATGACATACCGAGGTCACTGTGTTCTTCAGACTCCTGTGAGATGTCACTTCTCACCAGAGTTCACCACAGGACAGCGTTACATTTATACAGGTTGTGCAGCTGGGAGAGTAGTCAGTAAGTATGTTACTGGTTGTATCACTTTACTTGATTATGATTAAAAAAACTGACATAATATAATATTATGACATTTAAATTAAGGCCTCAATGATAGTAAAGGTGAATTAACAGAATCTTGACTTTTTTCAGTGGTATAGAGTGTTTGAAAGTTATTGTTTGCAGTTAACCATGATCTGCCAATATTGCCAGTGCCAGTGTTGCCAGGTTGTGCATTACTATGTAACCACAACTGCACAGTGACTTTCCAAATGCACTGTAGAGCTGAAATGTTTGTATTGTGGTTAATGACACAACTTATACCATATTTGACCTCCCAGCCCTCAGCCCACCTTGGTAATAGTAAAACAGTCCATTTTAGTGATGGTTCAGCTATGAAGGAGGTGGGCTGTGTTTTCACTGGTGATTGGATAACTAAGACATCAGCTGATATGGGGATGTAATGTGTATTCAAGGTTTTAATTGAAATTTGTTACCAAATTAATGAATAATAATATTTGTCTGCAATATAACACTCACAATAGACATGCCAACCTCATAGTTCTTATTATATCTGGCTTTGCCTGATTTAAATTTGATTATATCATAGCTGTTCTTATTCCAGATGCCTCTCAATTTATGTATCATTTGTATGTTGGTGTTACCATGTTATTTTATATATGTAACAGTGACTACTTTTTTCTTCTTTCAGTTTATGATGTCCTTACGGGTAAAGTGCACAGTGTGTTGTCTGGACATAGGGCTTGTGTTTGAGATGTATCGTGGCATCCGCACAGACAGGAACTCATAAGTACATCGGTAAGTTTTGCTCTGTTGTATAAAAGTAATATCAGAAAATTGATCTTGTATTATGCAAATACTAATTCACTTTTGAAGGTAATTTCAATTCACTTTTTATAGAGTTCCTTGCTGTTTCCATACTGAGGTGGGTATGTAATATCAATGTGAGAAGATAACCTTTGCTTCTGTAGGTACCAGGCCGAGCAATTAAAGCAGGGCATAACAGACATTTCTTTGGATAAGGAGGCAGACCAACAATTTAAGAGCCAGCAACAATTTTCTGGTATAGAGAATGTATGCATGTAGAATACTGTTACAAACATCATTTTTTGTTTGACAGTGGATGGAACACTGGGGAAATGGACCTACTCAGGGAAGACAAAATTGGACTTGGAGGATGAAGATGTAGATACCTTATACCCATCAGACCAAGGTTCAAGAGGTCTGCGTCGTAGCCGTCGTATTGCCCAACAGCGGGAAAGACAGCAAAAGCTACAAGATGCCCCTGAACAGAAACATACGACAAGCTTTTGACTCATGTGACCAGTGAACCAGGTTAGAATGACTGAAGCAATCTGGTATCTGTGAAACATCCCAACATTTGCTCAAAAGCAGGATGATGCAGTATTGAACAGATGGTGTTTCCATGGATGTAAGAGTGGCTGTATAGCTACTGCTGCTTGTCGAGAGTGACTTACCCATTTACTAGTCTGTACTGTGTAACTCCAAATAGTTACCTATCATAAACACTGCACAAGTTAATTTTTGTAACAATGCAAAAGCTTGTTTGTGTTCAAGTTACAGGTTGTTGGAAATATATTTGTGATAATAATTTGTATGAGATTACAGAATATGTTAGGAGTGTGTAGTGATGACTAACTCCAGTCACCACTCTTGAGTGCTGTATTTATTTATTTGTGATTTGTTTTTTTGTGGAAGGAATATTAAATCAACAAAAAATTATAAAGGAAGATATTAAATCAACAAAAAATTATAAAGGCATAAATTGACTTCAGTAAAGTATAGTATGTGGCTACTAGTTCAATAAATTGTCTGCACTGACTTGCTGACACAGACACAGTTTTTGTTTTGTACTTTTGACTTCAGCTGACTATGAGGTAGCATCATGTTTGAAAGGGAAGCCACAGTTTGTTCATGAAAGCATCATCCATAATAATTCTGTTAATACAGATATAATTTTCTTTACAGGATCTGGTTGACAACATAGTTGTCGTGTTCAGTTATTTTCAGAGGAAAGTCATCCTGACCACTCATTTCCCCTAATTTAGGCGTATATTACTACTACTTTTTAATTAGTGTTGTGCTGTGACAAGTTATATTCTCCATTATTGGATTGCAGAATACATTTCTCCTTCAAATGTTTAAAAGAAATGGTTTATGTTATTTCTTGCAAAGAATATTTATGTGATTTCCTTCAGGTTGTTGCAAAAAATTGACATTTCAGGGGAGAATTGTTTATACTCTCTAGATTAACACATTACATAATTTATTTTAATATGAAAAGAATTTCAGATTAATACATTGATTTGTTACCGAAATGTGGAGGGCATGCTGGTCTAGAGTGCCATTTTGCGACTGTGCATCTGTTGCAGATTTTACTCATGCCTTTTCTATCCTTTGTAAATATAGTAAAGGTGTGGAATACCAGTTTACCTCCATAGTAAGGAATCCAAGCTGCTGGTTCTCTTTGTTGACCATGATCTGTGTTACAGTCATAATGAATTCTATTCTTTAGGCACTCCCACTTCAGAATTGGATTCCTTCACTCTCACCATGCGGACAAAGGTCAGAAAGACCATAAATACTGTAAATGGAGGTGTTAGGATGAAATAAAAACACTTTGAATTTGTTTAGTTCTGTGGTTCAGGGTAACATGTTAGCCTCATCTTGGGATTGGTGTCAAAGTTTTTGCATGGTTTCCCCATTTCTTACCTTTGACAGAATGAGATGTACCACAGTTTACAGTCCTTATTAAGCTGTAAGTTGTCTGGCAGCCATCACATTCATCATTACCAGTGGTCAACAAATGTCTCATTTTACCAGTGAGACAAAAGTTATAATCGTAAGACGTATCTTCCAGATACAGGTACGGATCATTCAGACAGTGTGTGGTGCTGTAATTTGTTTTCTACATCC